TTTCTAATTTGAATTGAGTTAAAGTGGATCAAATTGTCCTAAGTGAAAGTTTAATTTGATATATTATACATTCGAAATGAATATTAAGTAAATGTATATCCATAGTTTTGAGAATGCTTTGAAGTAGCATCTGTCGTGCATTGAAAAAGGATGATTTGTACTAATATAAGTACGATTTAATTTGTAAGGAGTTTGAATTGTATAACATAGAGACACCCTCCCTTGCAATGAAGGGTAGGGGAGGGGTATTCAATTCAAACGCCAAAAATGAACTAGTTTACCAAAAAAAAAAAAAAAATTGCAATTAGTCAATTTTTTTTTTTTTTTGGATCAGATTTAATTTTGCCTTTTAACTATTGCATAAATGTCATATTTAATTGCTGTGTTTAATCCTATTATATATAAAGAGGAAAATTTAAGAACAATGGTAAATTTACACTCTTTTTCATCCCAACTATTTGTAATTTTTGTACATTGTGTTTTAATAGTTGTACTTTCAAATTTCTTTGGCACCATATGCCCTTACCACATTAATATTCCAATTAAGTTTTCTTTTTCTTTTTCATTTTTTTTCTATTTTTTTACCTTTGTTTAGATTTATATTTTTTCTATCCAAATTATTAGTATATTATGTTGTACATTTTTTTTGGACACATTTCCTTACCACATTAATTTCCAATTACATTTTTCAAACCGCTTTTATTTTTTAATGGTTGTGCTTTTAATTATTGTAATCAAATTAAACAGATAAAAACCTACAATAAAAATTTGATAAAATGTATATGCAAGTTCTGAAGTGCTAAATTTTCTAAAGTTGAATCTAAGCAACGTAACGATTGACTAAAAGTTTACATGTGTCAGAATAAGGCAAATTAAAATGTTGCAAGCGGCATATATATTTAAAATTTGTCTCTCCAACATTAAAAAATAATAAAAATAAAAATAAAAATTGAATCCAAGTATAAATAGGAGTAAAATGTTAAAAGAAATACGTACAAACAACACAAGATACAACACACAACATCAAAGCTTACACTTAGAGAAATTTTCAACGAACTTTTTTAAAACTTAACGTAGAATACTTCAAGATTCTTAAAGTTCGAAGCATCATCTAGCAATACTTGACTCTGTTTTTTGTTTGAGATTTTATCAACATTGATTGAACACTTGTTGTAATTGCTAATACAACTGTAAAGTTAGAGTCAAATTCTGCAGATACAATCCGAGTCAAATTTGGATTGATCTTGGTGGAAACTGGAGGTTGTATAAATAAAAATAAAAATAAAAAATTTAATGGATTTCATATTCATTTGAATTGAATAATGTTCTCAGAAATAAAGAGAAATTGACTATTTATTTTTGTAATAAAATTGGCATAAAAATCAATTGAAATAGTAGTTGAGTAGGTAGCTACCAATTTTGGTCGTCCATTTGGCCATGCCACCTCAAGCCTCAAATATTGATGTAACTTGCCAGAAACTTCCAATTATAAATTCTGTTGCCTTTTTTTTTTTTTTTTTTTAGGTTTAGGAAAATTCGTAGCCCATATTCAATGATTTGAACTAGATAAAATTTAAGAAATAATTCAATTTTTTTGTACTACATTTATAGGATTTTTCAATGGCATTTCAGTCTTCAATTATGATTTTTTTTTTCAAAAAAATAAGGATAAAAAATATAGCGATTCAACCTCATTTGTATAAAAAAGATTGAAATGTCTTTGTATTTATAGACATTTCAATGATTTTGTTGAAGGAGAACTAAAAATAGTCATGTCAGAACAATACTAGGACTAAATGAAGATGTTCTAATAAAAAAGAACTCAAAGTAGACTATCACGTATAATAAAACACAAATTATACAAGAAAAAAAAAATCACACTAAAAATACCTTTTGCAATAAATTCAACTGAAAAGGTGTCAATAATAATCGAAATTCTGTTGTTTTTTAGTAGCTTTAATCAAAGACTTTGATATAAGAATTGTGTCAGATTTTGTCTTTCTTTGAATGTATCAAACAAAATTCTTTTTAAATTATAATGTCACTCATAACAATGTTATATGAGTATATTTTATATTTAATAATTTAAATAAATATTCTTCTCAATATATATATATATATATATATATATATATATATATATATATATATATATATATATATATATATGGTCCATTTCAGGTGTGAATCAGTGAATATGTGAACTCTCACGTATCGTTGAGATGTGAGATTGGAAGGTCAAGATCTGAGGAGTGGTGTAGTGGTACATCCGGTACAGTTATACAGTTATATTTACCAAGTCAAAATCATTATAAATCACAAGATTGAGAAAAATCAACGGTGCATAATAGTACACATGTTCGCATGATAGCATTGATTCACACACAAATAATATAACTTTATCACACTTAGACATCATTACACAACACAAAATTTTTTAAAAACTTCATTTCTAACCTTAAATTAGGACAAATAGTTACAATTTTAGTCTCCCAGTGAACATATTAGGATTCTATATTGTATATGAACAATTGAACATTCAAGTGATTTCAATTTTTTTGAAAATATAACCTTGACAGGTTTAAAGTCAGAATTATATTCATCGAGAGACCAGTTTGCTATATTTTTGCAAAGTTAGAATAATATTTGCAACTTCAAATTGGCTAATGGCATATAAATAAAAATTTTAAAAACAAATGAGTTTAATTTCCTTCATGATCAAAAATGTCAAAAATATGATGTAAATAAATCTGTTTATATGCCAAAACAATGAAACATAGATTTGGTGTGACATGTAGCAATCAAGATTGGAAGCCCTAAAGTACAAATCCCTAAATCCCACATGGTTGCCACTCTCCATAGTGGAAATAGAGAGGTGGCAACATTGCATTATAAAGATGAACTATAAATATATGATTTCCTTGAGCTTCCCATCACACAACTCTGATCTTTCACCTTAAAGGACTACAATATAATGGCTATCTTTTTCAAGTATTTTTGCACACTTCTCTCTATTACTTTGGTCATACCTGCACTTGGCCACCCTCAAGGTGGTGAAGGTGGTGGTGGTGGTGGCGGCGGCGGTTCCACCCAACCTGGTGGTGGTGGTGATGGTGGTAGCGCCTCCTCCCAACCTGGTGGTCCTAAAGCTACCTATTATACCACCTCTGATGGCTTGGGTACTCCAAGTATGCCTATACCTCCTCTCTTTCGTACCCTTACACGATCCAACACGTTTTTGTTATTTAGTATGTAGTGGTTATATGATTAGAAAGTATAATAATTATGTAGGAGTAGATGTTATAATATAGGAGAACATGCTCCATTTATATGGAACATGACCAAAGGTGAAATGAGAATCATGCTTTAGGTGAAAACGTAAGAACTGCACAAATGCACACAATCTACACAGAATCTAATCATTGTATGCCCGGAGAATTAGATTGTGTACATTCATATAGTAGATTGTGTGCACTTATACAGTAGTTCACATATTCTCACTTAAGGGATAGTTCTCATTTGAACGTGAACCTATATATATATATAATGAATTTGTTGGTTTGGCAGGTGGATCTTGTGGCTATGGAGAGTTAGGAAGAACTGAAAACAACGGCCAAGTTTGCACCGCCACGAGTCGGCTTTACAACGGCGGCGCTGGCTGTGGTGCCTGCTACCAGGTAAACCAACCTGCCTGCCTGCCTGCCTTTCTCTTACACATTTGATAAACCATTAAAAGTAGAGTTGAAAATGTTTGGGATAATTTTCAGGTAAGGTGCAAGAACAAAGACCTGTGCAGTGAAGAGGGAACTAAGGTGGTAGTCACAAACTATGGAGAAGGCCCTGCAACTGACTTCATTCTCAGCTACAGCGCCTACGCTAAATTGGCCAAGTACCCGGCTGTGGCGGCCCAGCTCTTCGCGCAAGGTGTTGTCGACATTGAGTACCGCCGAGTTTCCTGCAAATTTGGTGCCAACCTCATGATTAGGATCCAGGAACACAGCAAGTTCCCTAGCTTCTTGTCCATCATTGTCATGAACCAGGGCGGCGCAACTGACATCCTCGCTGTCGAGATCTATGAGGTATGTCCGTCTCGCCTTTTTCACCCGAGTCAATGGATACAATACAACACAAACAACTAGTCAATCACACAAGCAACGACAAATGTCCTCATCATCGAACTACAATACCCCACACGAGATGTGCTTACAATCTCCCATTGCATGACCAACACTAGTCAAAACACCTTTTTGGATCAACTTTTTAAGAAAGTCATTTTGCATGTAATCAACTATCAGCTAATTTACCAAACATCTTTCTACAATCAACTAATGCTATCAACTAGTCAAACCCACTAACCCAATCAACTAACATCTATTTACCAAACACCCCCAATACCTTTTTATGGATCCATAGAATATATTACATGTCCCACATCAATCTCACCACTAGAATCTAGTCCTCAAACAATTGAGAAACAATGATATTGACCAAGCCTCTACATAAATTAGCAACACACACACATGCCAGATAAGAATGTAGGGAATACATAATAATCAAAGACTTTTGGTATGCAGGAATCGAGTGAAAAATGGATATCAATGAGGAGGGCATATGGAGCAGTATGGGACTTGTCTAGCCCACCATGTGGACGACTTAAAGTGAGGTTTCTCGTGAGTAGCAGCGATGGAACAACAGCTTGGGTGCAGTCAGACAAAGCTGTCATTCCTGCTGACTGGAAGGCTGGCGTTACTGTTGAAACAGACATTACACTCTCTTGAGCAACACAAGCACTCTCAGCATCTATCATATCATAGCTTATAGACATCTTAATGTAATGTAATAATAAATTTAATAATCTCTATGCTATGATCAGCCATTGCACTTCAAAGCATGCATGGTTATATACATACATGCTCTAGGCTGAAGTACAACTATCGTGTGTTATCTAAGACCCTGTGAGAAGATAATAAATTTTGCAATATGGTGAAAGAATGATCTGAGATGAGAAAGAGCAAATTTAATTCATTCGATGTATTTACACCAGAAACAACAAGCTAAAGAAAGAGCTTACATTAGGTAATGAGGAAAAACCTGAACCCACCCTTGAGGAGAGACCCTTAAAGACCAACTAATACAGCCTACCGGTACACTCAGCAGATCCACAAAAGCATTGTTTTACCTTGATGTTTCCACTGGAATCACGAACCTGATCCACTGTATAATTATAGTGATAAGTCAGCTCTCGTAATGGAGAAATATTCTCTACAGCAAAGAGCATGATATGCGGCACTTTTCTGTCATCATAGTCATAAAGGACATTTTGTGCATAGAGGTTAGGCGAACAGCTGTGATTGATAAACCTTCCGACATTCCCATACTCTGCTGCATCAATGGTATGGCCAACTTCTTCAACCTGCTCACTACTAGTACATTTTTGTCCAGAAGGATTGATAGAACAGTCACTATAGTTATGGCCAATATCAAAAAGATACTCATCACTACCAATCCTTCGTTCAGCTTCCTTGTCTTCAAGAAGCTCTCCTGCATACTCACATATAAAGGTTCCTGAAGGAATAGAAGTCAGGGATCTGACACCCCAGCCCCGTGACTCAGTCTTGAAGATCTCCAATTGAATCTTGATACCGTTCTGGCTGACTCTGTTATAGCAAGAAGGTGGACACTTACAATGAGGACCACACTCATATACAAGAGGTTTCACTTCAACTATGGCCCCATTACGGTTGTATGGAAGTTCACCTCCATTTCGGACTGCACATGCGCACTTTTTGGAATCAGAACATTTACCGGTACAGTCACAACCTTTAAGTGGAGCAGGGTGGAACCATTCTGGATATTTCATCTTACGGATGTAATTAAATGATGGAGGTTTCTCACTGTCAATTCTGTTGATAGCACATATAGGAAGCAACTCTTTTCCTCCAGTTATGTCAGCAACACAAACTCCATGCCGCATTGTGGACTTTTTGGATGACTTTACTTCTTTCCAAAATACATCCGCTTGACCAGGAATTCTTCTAAGCTCAAACATAAAAACCATCTTACCGTGCTTACCTTCTACTGTCCAATAGTTCTGAACAGTGTATATGCCATCATAAACATATGTTGTGGCCACCTTTGGCTTTGCATCCACTGATTCAGAAGGCTTGGTCTCCTTGTATCCACGAATCACCCGCACTGGATTCTTTACAGTTATGCTATTTCTCAAAGCTAGATTGCCTCTTTCAAGCTTTTGGTCTTCTGGTGTCTTAGCTTTACTAATCACATTTCCACCTTGTCCAGAATATATCAAGACATCAGGATCATCCGTTTCATCGGCATAAGCTCCGGAAGAAACAATACTAACTGCAATTGTAATTCCAGTCTCAGTATGCTTCATTGAATCTATACCTGCTTGATATAGTCGATGAATACCAACAAGGGCAAGTTCCACCCTATACTGGAACTCATCACCAACTTCAACTCCAGGCACTTCACCTAATATAACATTGCCAGTGTTAACTTCTTTACCCATTGCTTTGATTATCTTTGATGCTTCAAGATCAATCCTTTTAGTTTTCTGCTTAGATTGTGCCTCTTCCTCTGGCCTTGACTTTGATTCTTCTCCTTGTAAGAGCTTTCTACAAAGAACCTGAAATAAACGCAGTGTCTCTCTTACTTTGCTACGGACATCACCATGGCTGGAACCATTTGGGCCAAAAGGTGGCAAGGTCACATCAAATTTGGGCAGTCTATTTCCACTAGGAGAAACTTCAGATGGCACTTCAGTATCCTGGTCACCAGCAACAAGAGCATCTTCATTACAAGGAACTTTAGCACCTTTGGCTCCATCTGAAATCTTAGAAACTGATCTCTTCTTAAGAAGTGCTTTCCTAGAAAATTCTTGTTTATGGCCAACTTTTTTTGTGACAGTTGTACGATACTGTCTCGCTTTACCATGAGCATCATTGTGTCTGGAATCATCGGAACCAAAAGGTTGCAGGGTCACATCAAATTCAGGTGATCGCTGTCCACCAGTAGAACCTTGAGGTGTCACTTCACTGATTGCAACAATAGTTTCCAGGTTCTCAGCACCGAAAACACCCTCACTAGTTACTAGGGCACATTCACCACCACTTCTTGCCTCGATAGAAAAAAGTGATGCCTTCCTAACAACACTTTTTTTGGCAACAGCATTGGACCTCTTCCGATAAGAAGCTGTATTTTTCTTAACTTCACCTTCCCTAATCACGCCATCACTAGTTAAGTCCGTTGTCCCCTGCCTCCATGGACAAAGTGGTTCAGCCATCAGAGCTTGCACAAGTGGCTTTACAACTTCATTACCAGAATCAAAATCATCACCCGAACACCTTTGATCATTTTCGTCAACATCACAAATACTTGTACCTCCTTCCCCAAGACCAATAGCATCATCTGGAAGGATGCATTTATCAATTTCTTCCTGGGAGTAGACAACAATCTCCTTACCAACCACAGCTTCAGCATCACGAACACCTTCTGATTTTTCAATGGAAGCCCCCACTTCATCTGCGATAGCTTTCACTATATCCATACAATTCTCTTCAATCGGCTTAGGAGCGTTCGTTCCACAAAATGGAGGAAAGTCACGTATAGCAGAAACTCTTCTCGAGCGGTATTTTTTCTTTATCAAGGACGAAGTGTGTTCCTCGACACTGTTATTGTATTGCAACTGCTGTTGTGAGCATGTTTTTCCCAAACTGGCAGGAACCATCTCATCAGACTGGGCAGTTTCATCAATAGGTAGTGATACTGTCTCATCCTGCTCCTTCATCAAATCGTGGTTCTCTATTTGATCCCCTTCCTCCACTTGCTCCACTTTATTACCTTCTTTGGTAGAATCAGATTCAAGAGGCTCAATACTAGCATGAACAGCCACATCAGACAGGGCACTTTCGACAATAGGTAGTGTTACTGCCTCATCCAGCTCCTTTACCAAATCACGGTTCTGTATCTGATTCCCTTCCTTCACTGGCTCCACTTTGTTATCATCTTTCAATATGTCAGATCCAAGAGGTTCAACATAGCTCATCACTTCTTCCACCCCACTAAGAGTTCCATTTGCAGTTGTGGCCACCACCACTTCTGCGACCACTCTATCCAAGGATTCATCCACTGCCAATTTAACTGAGCAGTTCACAACTTCTAAAGATTGCAACTCACTAACATCATCAGAATCCTTTACACCTGTAACCTCCAAACCGGCGGCAGCAACCACACTTCCACCAGATTTCACATCAGTTTGCGGAGCATTTTCGCCACACCCAGGAGGAAAATCCCGAACTGCTGAGACTTTCCTAGCTTTATATTTCGGCATATGATCCAAGGATGAGGAATGGAAACCATTCTCTAATGGCCTCTTCTGATTCTGATGAGACAACCCACCACTCGACACCATAACCATTTTCTTTACAAACTATGAAGATATCCACCTTCTAGCTAGTGAGAATGCTGAAAAGCAAGAAAGATAATTAGAATCCTATTTCATAGCAGAACCATATCAAACAATAAATAAATCTCAAGTTTTTTTCTCAAATCCACTAACATTAGCTCTCACTTCCCAACCAATAGCTCACATAAATCACAGAAAAGATTCATCAAACATAAAATCAAATTGTTGAACAAGCTAACAAATAACAAAAAGGCACCTCTCCGACTGGTATCAAATTTAACTCCGGTTGTGCTGCTCCGATCATCCAATATTTCCTGGCCGGGAAATTGATGGAAAATAAAACAACAAAACTGAACCAACTGCAAATTTTACAGCAAAAGAATTATCCTACGCATGCAACAAGGAAAAACAGAACTAAAAGCAAACATAAATCAGGAAGTGAAGGTTGGTCGGGAAAGAACTTACCAGGCATCAAAGCTCAACAACCATGACGATTTTGCGCCAGTTTGGTACCTAGAACGAAAAAAATCGCAGAAAAAAAACGGTTAAAAGGGGAAAAGGAAAAGGGAGGAGAAGCAAAGAAGGGAAAATTTGAAGCTAAATCAGGAAAAAGGAAGAAGAAATGTAAGAAGAAGGTATTGCAATGAATAAGAGTGGCGGAAAATCGGAACGAACCGGGTCGGCGATCCGGATCTGGAGAAAACCCAGATTGAGAAGGCATAGCATACGGTAATGGGAGGTGGATCAAGAAATGAGGGAATCCATGGATGGATTACAAATTACAAATTACAAATTACAGTACAAATTACAATGGTGGTGGTGTGTTGGTTTCTGCGCGAGAAGGGGACGGTGGCCGTTTAGCAATTTGCAGCGTCCGAATAAAGCAACAAGAAGAAATGGAAATTGCTAAATTCGATGAAAATAATAAAATGATTTTTTTTCTTTTTGGTACAACTTTATTTTATGTAAGAACCCACTATATATATAAGTGATTGTACTCAATTTTCCAATTTAAAATGAATTAATCACACTTCTTATCCCTCAATTATGTTATAACTATCAAATTGATTCTCGATTATTTATTTTGACCAATTAAATTCTCAGCTATTGATTTCATAACTAATTTGATCCTCGGCCAAACTGATTGAGAACCAATTTGATAATTACGAAATACCAAATCGATTACAAAATTAATAATAGAGAATTTAATTAATCAAAACGATCATTAATTCGTTTAAAATTGTGTAATACGATATTTATATTTAATATAATCTTTTTATGCAATAGATTTTTTGGTTTAAATAGTTACCAAATTTATATAAAACACTTATGCATTAATAAATTGTCATTGCCGTATGGCGTATGCCGTATAAACTCAAATAATTAATTTCTTTAATAGTTAAGGGAATTAATTTGTATGGTCTTATCATTAATTAGAGGTGAGCATAATTACTGAAAAAATCAATGAAATCGATAACCAGTTACGTTATTGATTATTAGTTCTTTAAAAAAATTTAATTAATCGGTTATGAACGCTCAAAAATCGTGGTTACCGAATAACTGATACTCTGTAATATATAAAGGTTATGTAAAATTTAGCTCATCACTAAGCCCAATAAAATATTTTAAATGGGTTATGACATTCAATTTGACATAACTTATCAAAAATTGAAATTCGATTTTCGGTCAGTTATATCTATTATTGGTCATTTTCAGTCGGTTATGAAGATTAAAGAATAACTATTATCAGTCGGTTATTGATTGTAATTGACCCATGTGTGTGTGTGTGTGTGTGTGTGGTCATACACCACCAGGTATGCAAGAATGCACCACCACGGTGTTCAGTAATGCACCAAGGTGTGGTGCATTTCTAAACAAGTGGTAGTGCATTTATGCATTCCTGGTCGTGCATGACCGCACGTCCCAAGCTGTGGTGCATTTGTGCATTTCACCCTAGTGTATTTTTAAACACGTGGTGTATTTGTGCATTTCACCGTGATACATTTTTAAACACGTGATGCATTTATGTATACCTAATAGTGCTTGACCGCACGTTCGCACGGGAAAGCCACAAAACTGTCCAACCCCAAAAGAGATGATTGAGTAGGTGAAGCATGACTATAGTATTGATTCTTACTAACACTCTCTCAGTTGAGTTTGTCACACAGTCTTCCTAGTATGCTTTACATCTCATATGTGGTTTGCAATTTTACACTCTATTACACCATCGAGTATTGACTTTTGATTTCTCTCATCACCAAAATAATAATAATAATAATAATAATAATAATAATAATAATAATAATAATAATGTTATTACCTTAAATAAATAAATTATTATACTTTACTTTTGAATTAGTATTTTCTACCTATAAATACAAATTTATAATTCTTTTAACCCTAGCTTCCCCCATCATTTCCTTATCCACATTGGTAGGGCTTCTCCATTCCGTATTTTTATGTTTCAGATGCATTTTCTTAGAACTAAATTAATCGGGATGTTTTCAGTTTGTTGGTTTGATATAGCTATAGTCTGATATACCTTTCCTTTCTTCTGGTGTTGTTTTAGTTTTTTCCATGAGTTTGAAACATTGTATGCTTAGATTTGTGCATCCTTGTCATTATATGGGAGCCTTGTTTTTTTTTTTTCTTTTGGGATAGTTTGTGCTTTTTACCCAAGAGTTTTGAGGAACAGGACTGAACACATAAACATGTTCTCTATATATAGTTTCCATGTATTGAATGAATGAATGGAATATGGCTCCGTTTTTTGGATATGATCATATGAATGCCAATGTTATTACTGTATTTGTATTTTTTTCGTAAATATATATATATATATATATATATATATATATATATATATATATATATATTTGTTTATTTCTATTTGATCTTACTGATGCATAATATATTATTATTGTCACCCCTCAAGTTTCTATGTTTTATAACAAGCAGCTAGCGTTAAGGGTTTACGTGGTTCGCTGGCCAAAAAAAGCAATCAAACAAAAGCTAAATCGAATTGAGGGGTGAGGACGTTGTAGATGAGGCCTTTTCTCATCATACTTTGCATTTTTTTTAGAGAGAATGAGAATGCGATGCTGAGGAAAGAGAAAAAGGAAACGGATAGATTTTTATTTTTTTTTTAACTAGAAGTTTCTATGTTTTTCTTATACAAATTTATAATTGTATATTTATATTAATAAATAATTATTAAGACAAGTATAATTTATTTTATATTGTGAACACATTATTTTTAATCAATTTGATTTAATAATATTATACCTTAATTATAAAAATTACACTTAATAATTTTAGTACTAAATGTCATACAATAATTACCATAAACAATGTTTGATAATTGACAAATTTTATTAGGCAATAAAAATTACTATTATAAAATCTTTGGTAATAAGTACACATTATATTTAATTATATCAGTTTAATAATATTATATCTTATTTTTAAAAAATTGAAATAATACTTTTAGTACTATTGAATATTGATTGACTAAAAATTATCTTAATTATTAAGGTAATTAATAGATATTTAGCTTTTAAAAATTTTCTAATATATGAATTATACATAGTAACATAGAATCAATTAGTAGGACAATTATATTAGGTAATGTAATTAATAATTTACTTTTTAAATTATATCTCATTTTTAATAATGAATATTTTCTTAAAGTATGTACAGACTATGCTTATCAATATAGAATTAAAAGTGTATATATATATATATATATATATATATATATATATATATATATATATAGGGAAGCAAACCAAAAAAAAAATATATATATATATAGGGAAGGGATCAGGTGCATTTGTTGCTTCCCGTGCGGATGTGCGGTGGATTAATGTACGTGAGGTTTATACTTAATGTGCGTGAGATTTGTACTCAATGTGCCTGAGATTTGTACTTAATGTGCGTCATGTTAATATGCGTGAATTTTGTACGTAAGGTGTCTGAGTATTGTGCTTAATATGCGTGAGATTTGTGCTTAATGTGCGTGAGTAATTCAGAATTATGAGCTCAGAAAGAAGCAGAATAGAAAACTCACGCACATTAAAGCCCAAGCTTCTTGTTACTTCTTCCTTCAAAAACTCTTTCTGTTTCTCTCTTCTCTTGGAAACCTTTGCAGTGCTGCCTTAGCTTGCTTATGTATGTTATATGCTGCTGTGTTGAGTTCGTTCTTGCATATTGAGTGTCCTCAGCAACTTCCAAGATTAAGCGCCATTTTTTCACGAAAAATCTGCAATTCGATTCTCCGTAAATCACGCGGGAACTTCGGCGAAGGGTGATCGATCCCATTGGGAAAGGAGAAACTGACATTCATATTTTCTGCTGCATTTTACACATTCACGCACATTAAGTACAAATCTCAGGCACATTAGACACAACATTCACGCACATTGAGTACAAATCTCACGCACATTAATTACCCGCACAACCGTACGAGAAACATTCAACCGCACGGGAACCTTTCACTATATATATATATATATATATATATATATATATATATATATATATATATATATATATATATATATATATATTATACTTAATGGATAATATTATTAGCACAAAATAAATTATACTTACCTTAATATATAGATTATTTTTTAATATAATTTCCTAATTTTTATTAAAGGTAATTATTCTCTTAATTTTTCTTTCCTTCTTTTGTGTAATTATTATGATAATTTTATGGTAATGTATTTAAATATTGGAAGAGAACAAATGTTATAATTAATATAATTAATGAAATTATTATGGTAATTGTCACAATATTTGGTAATTATAATTAATATAATTAATGAAATTGAGAAATATAAGATTTTTTTCATAGAGATATTTTTGACAATTTCATTAAATTATAATTAATAAAATATAAAATATAAATAAACAAATGAAATTATAAAATTAACAAAACATGAATATTTATAATTTTTTAAAATATACATACATACACTTTTTAAATTTCTAAATATAATTTTTTAAATATAAATCTATCAATATAGATTATAATTAATGAAATTATATTATTGAAATTTTCTATATACATATTAATAAATATTATGTGTATATACAATGTATTATACAATCATACAAGGATATGCGTCAGATTAGAATTTATATTTATTTATACAAAATTTAGAATTTACATTTGTTATTGAGTTCTAAGTACAATTCTCTTAATTATTATTATTCATATTTTTAGAATTATAATATATATGAAATACAATTTGGAATAAATCAACTTTTTTTTTTTTGAATGCTGTTCATATACTTTCTCAACCTACTGAAACACAAAGAGCTAATAACGCCTCCACTGAGGCTTGAACTTACAACCTTCCAAATGGAAGTCCAACCCGGGTACCATTGGACCACATAGTCCTGGTAAATCAATCAACTTAATTATATGAATGTTTTCTATAAATTTATGTAAATATGTACATGACTAGAGATTATATTAACCATACAAAATTAAATTTTAATTTTGTATGTTATGAAAATAGATATTTGACCAAATATATAAAAGTCCAACTATATTATTATATTGTACATTTTAACATCTTTTTATTTTTTCTATTTTAATTTTAAATTCATAATAACAAAAAAAATTTCGTGCAACTCACAGGTAAAACACTATATTTTAAAAAATACAATTTGATAAATATTAGAAATTAATTAGTACAATATTATTTATGTTTATAATAATTAAAGAAAAAAATAAATAATTCAAATATGTGAACCAATGATTTCAAAATA